CATGATATGATTTGATTGACTAAGATTTATCTTTAAGAAAAGATAGTGAAGGTATTATTTCATATTTAGAATGTTTCTTCTGTTTTCTTTTTTTCTTCTTTTTTTTTTCTTTTTACAATCTTTTAGATAAATTATACCTGTAGCACTGACTATTCATACCATATCAAATTGAAATATGAATATACAGTTAGTTAAGATAAAGAAAAAATACTGGCGTTTATTGTATCCATTTTATAAATAATGATTAGTTCAGTGAAAGTATCAATGATTATTTATAATTCTAAGCAAAGATGAATAGTGGCTAGTAGTGGAATCCAGTTTAACACGCGTTTCTTCTTCTCGTCAGTTGGATATATCTGCATCCCAGATTTGATGTTCATTCAGGGATTCGAAGTTAGTATCGTTTGCTTTAAACACCATCGCGTTAATCACTTAGTTACTAAGTCTTAATAGCCAATATTGTAGCAATGTACATAGTATGCACATATGCCAATAATAGACTGATCAATTGCAGTTCTAATTAACAATGGGAAGATTCAATTAAACAATACCAATTGAATTTAATTATTTACGATACTTTATGTAACATCTGATCTAGTGAAAGGTTTAGTTGTTTATTTTTGATAAAGATGATCTATGGAATGTTAAGATCATGAATAAGCTAAATCGAAATAAATTAGTTCAGCAATTTAAGATGATAATTTGATTTACATTAAAATGACTGTCATATATTATAACTGCTGAGAAGTCCCATACTAGGAAGAAATGACCATCCAGTACTTCTAGGTTTTCTGTGGTGGTCTAACTTCAATTGACTCATGAACTCAACTATTAAACTACTACAGTATCCATAAAATCCCTCTCCGATTATAATCATTAAATGGTCACCAGTGATTGAATTCAAGAGGCATTTCCTGGAGTTGTAGTGAGAAGCGATGGCCAGTGGAATTCAACTAAGTCTATTGTGAGATAATAATTCACTGAAGATAATGATGGAGAGTGGCAAAATTTTGTGGACTGGTTGAAGTTAGACATTAACAGAGTTGCATGCCAGCTCACTGGTCTAGACGTTAAACGTTTCCATGCGGGACCGATAGGTCCTGGTTTTGAATCCCCTGTCGTGGATGTGCGCTTCTAGGGAGTCCCGTACTTGGACGAAACGACCATCCAGTGTTTCCACGTTTTCCATTGTGGTTTAGCTTTAAATGACTCATGAATTCAATTAAGCTAACCGTAAATAACTAATTTTTTTTCATTAAGGGGATTTGTGAAGATTGTAGTATTTTTAACAATTGAATACACGATTCGATCTAAGCTAAACCGTAGGTCCTTAGTTCTAGTTCCGCTGCGCGGGATCGTTTATGCACACTACTGAGGAGTCCCATTCCAGGACGAAATGTGCATCCAGTATTTATTAATGGTAAACCAGCTTCTGACGAGTCTGATGAGTGCAAAACAGGATGAAACACGCGTCCTGGTTTCCACTTCAAACTACTATCCATCTTTACTTATAGAGGAAGGATGTATTCGTATGATCTCTGTGAATGAATTCGAAATAAAACCAATGTTTCGCCTGTCAATCTGGTTCAAACATTTTCAAGGAAATATAATCGAACATCAAAATTATCGAATATTATCGATAATTTGCACCAAGTTGCTCAGCAAAACGTTGGACTTACTTTAAAAATTAAGTTTTTGACGTTTTAAAACTTACCATAAATATTATAATCGAAGATGGTTAGTGGCTAACAGTGGAATCCATTTTGACGCGCGCCCTATTTAGAACTCGTCAGCTCGATGTGCTTGCATCTTAGAGTTTATGTATACACATATGTCAATAAGAGGCTGATCAATTGAAGTTCTAATCATCAATGGGAAGATTCAAGTAAAACAATACCAAGTGAATTTACTATAAATAGTTTTTGTAAGGAATACATAACACTTCTAATTTAACACGAATTTTAGCGGTGAATGGAGTTAATTAGATAAGATATTTACATACCTACAACCGTCACCTCTCATGGGGGAGCATAGGTCAGCTTGCAACTAACCCTGTCCTGGACAATCCTTTTCAGTTCTCTACACTTGCTATTCATCCTTTTCATGTCTACTTCCAATTCTCGAGGCAGTCAGTTTATCGGACTTCCCCTTTTCCGTTTCCCTTCACAATTCTAACAGAGCACTTGCCTCGTGATTCAGGTTGATGATTTTTTCAATATGTGTCTTATTCACTTTCATCGTCTTTTCCTGATTTCCTTCTCAACTCGAAGCCAGTTTGTTCTCTCTCACAGTACGCTGTTACTGATGTTATCCAGTCAACGGACATTAAGTATCTTGTGTATACATTTGTTCAGAAATACTTGCACGTTTATGATGATGGCTGTAATAGATATCCAATTTTCAGCTCCGTTCAGTACGACTGTTTTAATATTCGTATTGAAGATTGCGATTTTGAAATTGGCTTGGAAACGGTTATTACCAGTTTCATATATTTTTCAATGGTAGGAATGTAGGGATAAAATATTAAACATAAACAAATGAATAACTTTTAAAAGGTTTGAATAATTTTTCCTGGTTAGGGTGTTTTTAGCGACTTAGTTTTCTACGTGATGCGTTTGCAAACCCCGTGTCCTTTATCCGGGCTTGGGACCGGCAGTAGCCCCCAGAGGGATTTCAGGTGGAGAACTAAGAAAACCATTATCCAGAAGATACAGGTGTTTATTAATAGTTGTCTACGCAAAATACTTCACATCTGTTGGCCGGACACTTTTAGCAATAACCTACTGTTGGAGAGAACAAACCAGATCCCAGCGGAGGAAGAAATCAGGAAGAAGCGCTCGAAGTCGATAGAATACACATTGAGGAAAACACCCAACTGCGTCACAAGACAAGCCCTCACATGAAATCCTCAAGGCCAAATGAGGAGAAGTGGAAGACCAAAGAACACATTACGTCGATAAATGGAAATAGACATGAGGAGAATTAACAAGAATTGGATGGAACTAGAAAGGAAGGCGGAGTGGGACAGGGTTGGTTGTAGAATGCTGGTAGGCGGCCAATGCTCCATCAGGAGTAACAGGCGTAAGATCTAAGAACACAGACAAATGCATTTAACTGAACAACACTTATTCAGCTCGAATATATCTCTAATGGATACCGTTTTCTGTATTTCAGTGTTTGTAGATTGGTATAAATAAGTGTTCATTGGTGACATATTATTCTACATATTGTTCAAATAATTAATATGCACTACAATTAATTTCAGTAAAATTTACCAAAATATGAATCAGTTTAGCTTATTGTCTTTGTTTATAGTTGAAGAAGCTATCAGTTACATGATTATTGAATAGTAATTGCACTGAGATCATTTGCTGATATCATAGAATTTCAAGTCGCGTATAATCATTTTATGTAACTTAAGTATTCTTTGATACAAATCAGAATTTTAATCAGAGCAGGGTTTTTGTGAATATTATAGTAATTTATTAGTTGATTTTATGAGTCAATTGAATCTAGACCACCTAGAAGCACCGGACAGCTGTTTCGTCCTATTGTGGGACTCCTCAGTAATGCGTACCCACGATCCCGCCTCGTAAGATTCAAACCCAGGACTTATCAGTTTCACGCGCGAACACATAACCTCTAAACCATTAAGCCGGTATTCAACAATGTTAATGTTTAACTTCAACCAATCCACAAAATTGAACCACCGCCCATCATTATGTTCATTGAGTTACTATTTCACGACTGTTATAACTTTTGAATCAGATGCTTGGGTTCGGATCCCATCCCTCCTCGCCAGTGTTAAGTTCGCTAATTGATTAAAGCAGAAAATGGTTTGAGACTATGACACTCGAAAGTTGAACTTCACCGTCGTAAATCAGAAGACAGAAGAAATTCTAGAGAAGTGTATGTTTGGTAAGAATCAAAGTCTATAGAAAATCACTGGTATTTATAGATATTAGCATTTGTTAAATCAACATTATATTTTGACCAATCCACTAAGAGATATATTATACCATTGACCAATAGTAGTATGCCATGTTGATATTCTAGAAAGCTCCATCATAATCTGATTGGCTGGAAACTCTTCGACACCTTTAGGACCTCTGGAGCCTCGATTGTAGTTCTCGGAAGTCGACTCAACAACAACAACAACAGACTCAGTTGAACTCACTGATTAACTATCTCATATTTTCATGATATTGATAATTATCATTTATGAACATTGTAACTATTACTAAAAATATTACGTAATACTTCTTATTACTTTAAAGTTAGTAGTATAATAGTGTTTATATTCATTATTATAATTGTGACGCATAAAACACCATTCTTTTTTTTTTTAGAAAAAAAGGTTTATATTTCCCCTAAAATAAGGAAGAAAAAACTTATTCATACGCAACTAGATCAAATCTATGTATACGCAATCGGGTTGGTAGTTTTATAAACAGACATGGATACAAAAAAAGCACCTTATGTACTATATATATGAACATACATTTATTAATAGTGTGCTGATAAATACTCGTTTCATACTAAGATAACACATATATATGTAGGCTTAAAGATTTCGATAAATACGTGGGTGCAATTTCCCTTAGTTTAACTAATAATATCTTGGTATTTTTCGGTCAATTTTTGCAATAGGGTGGTAATCTATATCATAGAAGAGGGTCGATTAAATTTTCTTTTTTCTTAGCATAGGCATACATAGACACTAAGTGTTAGAGATCTATGTTCAAGACGATATGGTTACGGTTGTTGTTGTTACTGTTGTTGGGTTGGTAATGATGATGACGACGAAGGTGATCGCAAAAATGAAATACAAGCATAGTAGGAAATATATAAATATACATTGTGCACAATGTATGTATATATAGTTTTACATATATTCTCCCCTCTTCATAATAATTATTAAATTAATATACAAACTTTAGTATCTGTGCTTTTTTTGTTGTTGTTGATAATCTATAGGATTTTAGTTCGTTTATTCATAGGTATTTTCTATATTACAAACATTGAATACAGAGTAAAAGTTTTAGTTTAAACATCAGGATTTCACAAATACAATATTCATTGTGTTCAATTCAACTGTTAGTAAATCATACTCAAGATAGATAATCATTACCCCACATACACACACACACACACAGATACGTTTACTCAAATGTATACATGGATACTAATTATTCAAGTATTTTCTCATTTTAATTGAATATAATCAATACACTACTATTAACACTATAAGTAATGTATTATAACTTACAGGAGATACACATTATACATAATGATTATGATAAATAAAACGATTTGATTAAGAACTTGATTGGATTTATATATTTAGATGAATTCAAAAGACAATATCATTTGTCAAGAGAAATTAATGTAAGTTTTAATAATGGATTTAGTAAGACTTTTTTTTGTGTGGTAGTATACTTATATTCTGATTGATTACTTATATATTATATTAGATATTGGTGGAGTTTTGTTCTCTGAGCTCACCTGAGCTACAAATCTTCTCCACCATCTCATTATATTAGATAATTTATGAAACTTTATAAATACTGCTTAGATATCTAATCAATAACAACTGGGAAGAGCTGGAAAGGATTGTTGAGGATAGGGTTGGATAGAGAATGCTGGTGAACGGCCTATGCTCCTTCACAAGGAGTAACAAGCGTAAATCAGTATCTAATCAGTAAGTGAATATTATTAGAGGAGTCTTACAATAGGAAAAAAATGGTCATCTAGTGCTTCCAGGTCTTCAATGATGATCTAACATCAAATGGATCATGATCTCAATCATTGATGATATTGTTAGTACTATATCAATTGATGAATTGTAAATATTCAACTCATTCACATTATTTATATAAAATATTATGAGATGGTGGAGAAGATTTGTAGGTCAGATGGATGATTTTGATGGAGTTTTATTCTCTGAGCTGGATGATTTGGTCGTGAAGTTTTCATCGTTCTTCTGAACGACATTATGAAAGTAAATAGATTAGTGAGTTATTATTAAAGAAGTCAAACTAGAATGAATTAAGGTAAATAAGACTGAGTTTAAATTAAATATGAAAATAAGTTAGAATACTAAAATCATGAAAGTAAATTGTAAGATGTGATATATGTCATAAGTTTAAATGTTTACTTTTGGCATTCACAATGACTGACTGATGACTTACAGACTTGATCTAATCATTCATAGAACTATCTATATTATTATGAACTCGATACAGAAGATATTTCTGTATTATTCAATGTTTCTAAGGGAGATAATTGGAAATAAAACTGGCCATTACATAGACATTTAAATATGTTGTCCTATTTATTTAATTAACGTACTTAATTACTAACGCCTATTACCCTTTCTGGACATCAATACTCTCCATCGAACTCTGTCATGAACAGTCATTTTCAATTGCAATCTATTATTTTCATATCTGTTTCCAGTTTCCGACGTAGTGTGTTCTTCAACCTTCCCTCTTTACGTTCCTCTTCAGGAATCCAAGGGAGCATTTGCCTTGTGATGCAGTTTGGTGATTTTCGTAATGTACATCCTATCTACTTCCAATATCTTTTCCTAATTTCCTCTTCAGCTGGAAACTAGTTTGTTCTCTCCCACAGTAGGCTGTTGCTGATCGTATTCGGTCAAAGGATTTTCAGTATCTTACGTAGACAACTGTTTATAAATACTTGTACCTTTTTGATGATGGTTGTAGTAGTTTTCCACGTTTCAGCTCCGTATATTAGGACTGTTTTGATATATTCGTATTGAAGATTGTGATCTTGATATTGGTTGACAGTTGTTTTGAGTTCTGTAAGTTGGAATTCTGTCTTTGCTTTGCCAATCCTCGCCTTTATGCTTTTGATGATAGTTTTAGAATATTCATGGTATTATTATTATTGCACAGTATAACAACAAGTCGAGGGCTAACTTGTGACTCTTTTCGAATATAAAGATCACATTAGGAGTTCATAATCTCTACAACTTCTTTAAAGCTTAATAACGTATAGTTAAACTGTCTATTAATGACTTTGAATGAACTCACTTTGTTCACATTGTACCTTCTATTAAGTAGAAGGCTTACTAACGAACTGCAAAGGCATATACCATATTACTTTGGTATTTGGTACAATAGTTCCTGATAAATAATTGAATGTAGTTATTTCCTAGAAGATAATCAATTACAACAGTATATTCTTGCTATGTTCGAATGCTTTGATTGGTCTATAATTATGACTAACAGGAAAAAGGTATAAGAGTTTAAGTGTTATTCCATCCAGGTTATTTTCTAATGTATATATCTTTAATAGGTTCCAAGATTTCTTCGGGAAATACTCCCGTTTTTTATATATCTCATTGTAAATTTATTATTAGGATAAGCTTTATTGAAAGTTCCATGTAAGTTGTTAGCAAGATTCATATCACCATACGAAACAAAAGTATAATCGACTTGCCATACATAATATCCAGTCTAAGTTGTAACAGATAGTGTCTTTATTCTTTTTACAAACTTCTTGAATTATCATACACAAAGACTGGTCTTAAAGAATATCCTATAGTTACACTATCTATTAAATTGAAAGTATATAGTCTTACTAACTATTTGATCTGAATTTGTGGTATAGGGAGTGACAGGAGATGTTTGAGATCAATAGTTTCAGCATTCCTCATAAGAATCCTTAAGTTTGTAAGTCTTATTGATTTAAGATTGTGATCTATTATGCTTTATATTAATTGATTGTAAACAATTAGTAACTAGTATCTTTGAGTAGATCTACCATAGAAAATCATTGAAAACTTCCCAGAAATATATTGAAATGATTCAAAGACATTTCTTTCAACATGAAATCAGTCTATCAACGTAGTTTTGGATTTAGTTATTTCCTTCAGCTTACAGTCAACCGATACAATAAAGTTATGTCAAATATTATTTAAAACCAACGTTTTCTGAATTAGTCTCTAAAAAAAAGTCAATTTTTTATAGTAATTCATATACATTGGACTTGATTTCTTTCTATGTACCTTCATTTAGACAATTCAAGACACTAAAGTATTTTTGATTGACATCATGAATCGATTGATGTTAGACCACCACAATTGAAAACCTGGAAGCACTGGACGACCGTTTCGTCCTATTGTGGGACTGCTCAGCAGTGCACATCCACGATCCAGCTCACGGGATTCGAACCCAAGTGCCTTCAGTCTCGCGCGCAAACACTTAACCTACTGGACCACTGAGCCGGCATCCAATGGTGCTAATGTTTAACCGCAACCAATCCAGGAACTTGCACGAACATCTTCTATTGTACTGAGGTAGACACCTGTTTCTACCCGACACGTATTAGCTCCACTGGTCACAGCTTCTCATCAGAACTCTAAAGTGTTTTAGAAAGATATTCTCGAATATTCTTTATTTGCTGATTTACATATTCCTTGTTTTATACAGAGGAAAACTGTACATTCACATCTACGGTTGTTCGATAACTATATAAGTCTAGAGAAAGATAGAAAAGATTAAATCATGAAATGATTGATTATGTTATAGTCAGTGGGTTAAAGAAGAATAGAAGGGTAGGTTTGAAGAAAAAATAAAGATAGTAAATGTCATAATAACAATTGAATAATCATCATGAAAAATCGCTAAAGGATAATAATAACTGAATACAGTTTAGAACTATTAAAATAAAAAAAGATCAAAATGTACTTCACAAGGGAATTAAACCATGGAAGGATAAATGTTTGGATGCATCATTTTTTGTGCTCAGAGTTCGGACTTGAATTGGCAGATCGTCAATGACTCAGCAACGCATAGGTTTTTTTTATCCACTCTAACTTCGATCTAGTTTCTTTGATTGTATATGTTATTCAGAGTTGATCAGATGTTCCTGTATTAAAGCGGTGATTGTTTGGAATTCTCCTATTAAAAGCGACGTCAGATAATGTTCTGTGATACGTTTAGAAAGTGATCGATTTGTACGATCACTAAACCTGTCTCATATCGATATGACCCAAAGTAAAAGGTTATGCTTAAAACATCCATCAATTATAGGCTGACCTGAGAAGACAATACGTGTGTTATCTGAATAGAACGTTTTTTTATTCAGGGATTTTCAACATTTCAGCAGCTGTATCAACTTTAAATTTGTTATTCATTAAAACAGTTTTCTTTTGAACTGTCAATACCTTTTTCAGGATATTGCTTAATGTTAAGTTTCTATCGACAAATCTAGGCGAATAGCCAATTCTGATAAGTATATGTAACCCACTTGACTATTACGTAATCTCTTTTGATATATGAAATCTTGAATCATATAAGTACGAATGTACAGTTTAAGTAAATGAAGAGCACTATGTCATGTTCAAATGTCACAGTCTCAATTGTTTTATTAATGATTTGTTCATTGATATTAGTTAGTGATGAGTATTACCATCAAATTGATAAATATCAATATCAGAAGGAGTTTTTGTGGATATTATAGTGCCTTCAATAGTTGAGATCATGATTCAATTGAAGATAGACCATCATGGAAAAGCTAGAAGCAATGGACGGTCGTTTTGTTCTATTGTGGAACTTCTCAGCAGTGTGAATCCACAATATCGCCTCTCAAGATTCAAACCTTGAACCCAGAACGCTTAACTTTTAGACTATATAAATAAATATGAGTTTTCCTATTTGTTATATAACAAATGTTTTTAATTACCAGTAAAGTTGATTTGACAATGATTTAATTCATTTACCCAGTATGATATTCTCATACTCAGTCTTGAGTTACACGTTACAGTTTTCTTATTGTTACTATTTGCTTAACCAGATAGCAGGTAGTCATAACGATAATCAAACTCAACACTTATCAGAGGAAATGTTAAGTGCTGTCACAATACTATCACAATCCCGATTAAATTTATTTAACAAGGATGTTCACAAATTGTTACGTTTAATTTCTATATCTATACGGTTGAATATTGTTTTGGTCCATGATTCTATACTATCTCTTAGAAGTTAATTAAAAACAAATAATGGAATAACGTTTATCACTCATTTACCTTACTGTATCACCTTTAGTTACTTATTACTGAATCTGATTCTACCTTCTACCAATAAGGCATAGGCCGCCGACCAGCATTCTCCAACCCACTATATCCTGGACCTTCCTTTCCAGTTCTACTAAATTTTTGTTCATTTTCCTCATGTCCGTCTCCATTTATCGACATAATGTGTTCTTTGGTCTTCCTCTTCCCCTCTTTGGTCTTGAGGATTCCATGTGAGGGTTTGCTTTGTGATGCAGTTGTGTGGTTCCCTCAATGTGTGTCCTATCCACTTCCATCAATTCTTTTTGATTTCTTCCTCCGTTGGAATCTGGTTTATTCTCTCCTACAATAGGTTGTTGCTGATAGTGTTTGTCCAATGGATCCGAAGTATTTTGCGTAGACAACTGTTAATAAGCACTTGTATTTTCTGAATGATGACTTTTGTAGTTCTTCAGGTTTTCGCCCCATACAGCAGAACTGTCTTGACATTTTTATTGAAAATTCTCACATTGGTATTGGACTGTGGACAGTTGTTTTGAGTTACATTTGTTGTTCAATTGTAGATATGCTATGCCGATTCATGCCTTCACATTTGCATCAGATCCACTGTGTTCCTCAATCATGCTGTCAGCACTTTAAGAAGTCAAACTGTACTCTTATTTAACAGAAATCAATCATGTTAGTAAACTGTAATAAGAACGATTAAACGATTTTTATTTACCAGAATATTTTTTTAAAAGTGAAAGATATTTCCATTGGTTATATAATTCAGTAGTAGACAGCAATGTAATCGAACATGAGATTTTCATTTTCGGTTACGTAGACGTACATTGTAAATTTATTACTCAGACTGTCATGTCATATAAGTGTCCATCGATTTGAACTATAGTTGGTTATCCACATAGCTATTTAATCAAGATACACTCCGAAAACTGATCAAATTCAGTCTTGAATCTGGACAATAGGAATATGAGAGTTTAAATACATTTCTAATGATTGTATCATCTAAACGGTTCATAAACGTGAGAAGCCGATTGTTATGGAGTTTTATTTTACAAAACAATATTTAATTCCAGGTTGATATTAATCTTATACATGAAATCGAATTATATCATGTTTACTAGTATAGCGGTTGTGGAGATTACTAAGTTTTTTATTGAAATCATGGATCGATTGATGTTAGACCACCGTTTCGCCATATTGTGCGACTCCTCAGCAGTGCGCATCCACGATCCATCTCGCGAGATCCGAACCCAGGGTCCTCGGTCTCGCGCGCGAACGCGTTTATTTGTAAAGTAATTAAACTTCTAATTATTTTCTTAACCTGAAATTGAACTTCCCATAAGTCAGTCAAATTGTATGGTGTGCTACTGATGTCAACGGATATAAGTAGTATGCATCATCAATCAAAAGTAAAATGTCTGGTGGCAGAATGTTAATCAAGATCAAATATAAGAGAAAGAGAACAAAGAGTGATTGCTATTTAACCAAGTTTCTTGAATTGTGATTATACCATAATTATTATGTAAATATAGACTTATTAAGAATCGAAGACAGCCTTGCTAATTGATGATTGTCATGATTAGATTGGAATATTAAGACGTTAAGCGTTCATGCCCGAGACCGATAGGTCCTGGGTTCGAATCTTGCGAGACGGGATCGTAAATGCGCACTGTTAAAGAATTCCATATTAGAACGAAACAGCCATCCAGCGTTTCCAGGTTTTTCATGGTGGTCTAGTTTCAATTGACTCATGATTTTAACTATCAAGATAATAGTAATTTATTAGGTTTAATGATATTTCCTAAATACATAAAAGATTCAATGTACATCTATCGTTGGATCCAGTTGATACGTATAGGTAAACAGTACATAAGATTTTCATTTGAAGGTAAAAATTGTATGTGTATTTCATAAAACCATGCAAACAAACCCAGCTACCAATAGTGTGCTGTAGGATAAAACAAACCAGTTTCCAGTTGAATAGGAAATTACGAAAAGACTTTGTAAGTGAATAGAACACACATTGAGGAAATCATCAAACTGCATCATAAAGCCAGCACTGACTTAAAATCTTGAATGGAAACGAAAATGAGAAAGATCAAAAAACATACTGCATCGAGAATCGGAACCAGATTTGAAAGGATAAAACAGTAACTGGAAAGGAATATCCAAGACAAAGCTGAATGGAGAATGCTGGTGAACGGTCTATTCTCCTCCATATGAAATAATAGTCCTAAGTAAAAATTAGTAGAGAAATCTAAATAAACAAACATAATCATTTGAAAGAAGAGTCGATATATATTTAAATTAAATCAGTTATTATAGCTTAGAAATAATAAGTTCTTAATACTTCACTTACATACACCTGTTACTCCTCGTGAAGGAGTATAGACTGCTCATCAGCATTTTCTATCGAACCTTGTTCTCGGTAATCCTTTCCATCTCTTTCCAGTATTCATTCATTCTTTTCATATCTGTTTACTAGTATATGGGTTGTGGAGATTATTACGTTTTTGATTGAGATCATGAATCGATTGATGTTAGACCACCACAACTAAAAACCTGGAAGCACTGGACGACCGTCTCGTCCTATTGTGGGACTCCTCCTCAGCAGTGCGCATCCACGATCCAGCTCGCGTGATTCGAACCCAGGGCCTTCAGTCTCGCGCGCGAACACTTAACCTACTGGACCACTGAGCCGGCCGGCATCCAATGGTGTTAATGTCTAACCTCAACCAATCCACGAAATTGCACGACCATCTTCTATTGTACTGAGGTAGACACCTGCTTCTACCCGACATGGATTAGTTCCACTGGTCACGGTTTCTCACTAGAACTCCGAGAATTCTCTCACGACGTTAGTCACTAGTGAGCACATGTTGATTACTAGTATCGAAGTTGTGGAGATTATTAATTTTTTTGATTGAGATCTACTTATATGATTATCACTTACTACTAATTAACAGTTATATATATATTTTAAAATTTCTCCTTAATACATTTCTATTTAGTGATGAATATTAAATGGCTATACCAATTACATTCCATTCATTACATGAAACATCTAATACAGGATTAATGATACATTCATGTGATATAAATGATTCACAATTATCATCTATATCTTTGAATAATTCATATTATAATACAATAGGACATATTGATGAATCAAATCATATAGATACAAATGGATTATTTCCTGAATGGTCATTAAAATTATCATCGAAACAAGATCATTATGATAAACTTAATAATGATGATATAACACATTATACTGATCATATATTACATAATAATAATAATAATAATAATAATAATAATAATAATAATAATAATAATAATAATAATAATAATAATAATATAGAATTGAATGATCCTAAACTATCCTATTCAACAGAATGTAATATAGTAGAAGAAGAAACGAATTCCACTTTATTACCAAATTGTCTCACTAAAGGTTTAAATGACTTGGTAACTAAATTACATAATAATGATCATCATAATCATGATGTATTATACAATCCATCTGATTGTTATAATACCCATGAATTATCTAATTGTGATATTATTATACCTTCAACATTCAATATTATTACATCATTGAATAATACAGATCTCGTTCATCATAAAACAACTTCATTCAATTCATCTAAATGGTATCCAATATTAAATAATCGATATAATACCGATTATTTATATAATCCATTATTCACAAAATATGATGATCATTCATTGATTTTATCAACGAATCATACAAATGATACATTGAATTTATCAAAAATGTTTAATTTAGATAATCATGAATTTGATCAATTGAATGTAAATAAATTGCATCCAGTTACATCATCATCATCATCAGCAGCAGCAGCAGCAACATCCTCATCCTCGTCATCGTCGTCGTCGTCCTCCTCATCCTCATTCTCATCCTCCTTATCATCCTCATCATTTAATGATAAAGATGTACGAAATTATTTTCTTCATGAAGAAACATCGTTTGAAAAAGTTCGACATTTAACAACGAATAAAAATGTTTTACATAAACATGATTTAATAGAATCTTCAAAGAATTATCAAAATCATAATAATAATACTGTAATACCAAAGGAAGAAATTGTAAAAAAGCATATTATGAATTCATATGAGAATAAATATGAACAAGAGAAAATGATTTCGTCATCAAATTATCCTTCCTCGTCAATTGTTTCATATAATAATAATCATACTAATTGGATGAATAAAGATGATAATATTAAAAGTATACAAGATCATGAAACGTGTACAACTACAACTACAACAACAACAACAACTACTACTACTATTAGTAGTAGTAGTAGTTTTAAGAAAAATCCATCTTTATCATCATTGAAATCATCACGTTTAAAACGTAAAATTGATGGTACTTATTCATCTTATATCATAAATCATGAAACATCAATCTGTGAAAAAGAATCATTGAAATTAATGAAAGAATATTCTAAACAATCTATTGATTTCTATAATAATAATAATAATAATCATTTTATTGATTATTCTATTAAATCATCTACATCAAATAATGAATTACAATTTATTACTGATTCTCATTTAATCGATAATGATCATTTATTCAATCAATATAATGATTCATTACCATGTTATTTATCATCAAATATTGATTTAAATAAACAAATTATGAATCAACATCATGATTATTTATATAATACATCAATTAATTCAATTGAACATTTTCCTATAATCAATAATATGACATCATCATCATCATCCTTTATACCAGAAAAATCAATACAATTCGATGATTATGATAATTATAATAATAAATCAATAGAGAAATCAATTAATCATAAAAATGATGAAACGATTACATTAATAAACAATATAGATAAAATAAATAATAATAATACTGAATATTCAATTCATTCTACAGAACAATTAAATCCTATTAATCCTATAGATCATTTTAATTCAATTACATTTGATTATTGTAATCATCCAATTACACATAGATATATATCATGTACAAATGATGAATATCATCTTTCTCCTTCTCCTCCTCTTCCACCTCCACCTCCTCCTGATCCTCATCATCATCATCATCATCATCACCATCATCAACATCATAAGTTAACTATAAGTAATACATTTAATGAAGAATTACAACGCCCACCACCATTACAGCAACAACACCAACACCAATCAGCACCACCGCCATCATCACAACAACAACAATCATTATCTAAATTGAGTAATAATAATAATAATAATAATAATAATAATACAACATTAGATTATTTTAATATAAATCCATTAACTTATTTATCATCGAATATATTACCTTCAACAGATATTAATGATAAATTAAAAATGAATCCAAAATATTTAGCTGCACAACAAGCATTAATAGTCAAATATTTTAATCATAATCATAATAATAATAATAATTTAACAAAAATATCTCATTTTAATGAATTTAATGATTTTTTTAATGAAACTAATGAAATCAATCAAACCAATCAAATGAATGGAATTCATGAAGTCAATCGAACCAATCAAATGAATGGAATTCATGAAGTCAATCGAACCAATGAAATGGATGGAATTCATGAAATCAATCGAACCAATGAAATCAATGGAATTAATGAAATCATTACAAATGAAAATACTATGATTAATCATTCATCTATTCATTCAATATTAAATAATGATATTATACTTCCTATTGAAGATACTACTACTACGACGACGACTACTACTACTACGACTAATCATAATGATGAATTATGTTTAAATAGATTTGATCCTTTTGTACATTTACCAACATCTAGTAAACCTAATTGTATTCATGATTGTGAAGATCATTATTTAGTAACAACAATAAAAGATAAGAATTTCATTGATTCTAATATGAAATTATGTAATATGAATACAATGACAAAAAGATTTCAACATAAATGTCCATATAATTCATTAGATCTAGATAATAAGAATCAGTTATATCATAATCCATCAACAATCTTATTGAATAATAGATCTAATCATTATATGAATGAACCAATTTTATTCAATGATACATTCATGAATAAATCGAATACCGATTCATATTTACAGTCATATCATTGTTTTATGAATGGAATAGATACATTCGATGAAAAGAATATAAAATTACATAATGAACATAATACATGTATCAGTCCATTATTACTATTATCATCCTCATCATCATCCTCGTCATCATCATCATCATCGTCATCGTCATCGTCATCGACGTCATCATCATCGTCATCGTCATCAACACATTCCACAACATCATCAACATCATTATCGTCTACTTTATTATTATCTTCTACATCTACACCATCAATGATATCATTTAGTCCGAATCATTCTAGATTATCAAAAAATTCTAATTATAATATAAATGATATAAATTCTATATCAATGAATGAAACAGATTGTCATCAATTATGTTTAGTTTGTGGTGATAATGCAGCATGTCAACATTATGGTGTAAGAACATGTGAAGGATGTAAAGGTTTTTTTAAAGTAAGTTCAGTTATTTTTATAATTAATCTATATTATAATGATATTTTGAAGAAAAAAAATCTAGAATTTATGGACGTGCAATTCTTTCATCCATTTGAATAAATACAGTCTTCGCATTATACCTCATGTCAGTTCGTGATGTCCCCCCCCTCCAAATTTAGTTCCTAACTCTAACTATTAACTGTAAATCATGATTCTAATTGTTCATACTGGTTTATAACCTTCATTCAGTCCACGTTACTAGGTGGATATTTTCAAGGTTGTCTTACCGTTGCTCAAACATCGCCCATATATTATAGTCTCACCATCTTCTTTTATCGACACGAGATAAATAGTCTATAAAATAATTTTCTATAGTGTAATAAGAAAGTGAAGATTATCAGAACTATATGATTAGGGCAATACATTTTGAACAATCTAATTACACATTATATACTTGTTAATTCAAGTAGACTAAGAATAGAAGGTAAGAGGAGACAAGGATAATAAAGAAATAATGTGAAAATAATTTGAAACCTGATCACTTCTGGAATAATAAGAAGCTAATATTATCAGGATAGGCTTAAGGTGAGAACAAACTGGGTTTTTTTTTAATACAAAGAGGGGGGCTAAGGCTTCATTAAACCTTAGTATATGCCCCTTTTACACTTTTGTACAACACCACAAAAGCTGACTTAAGATCAATCTTACAACCTGTTTTAATTATGTATTTGGCAATGGGATTTTTTAGTTTACCATTTCAAACGGATCTTAGTTACACAATCAGTTGAATAATTTCTAATCCAATAGTTCGAATGATAAATACTCATTGTGATCCATTAAAGTCTTACGCTCAATCTTAGATGAGACCATCGACTAATCTAGTGTATTTTGATACTATTTGTCATAATGAAGATAACATTTCAGCTCATTAGATAGTTTACTATCATTAGACTTCTTCATAGACATACTGAAGTCTGAGCCATACTGAACTATTCTTTTATCTTAATTTGAAACTATGAGAGTGTTTATTCAAAAATTCAATGATTTTTAAGTTAGGGTTTTATAAAGTCTCACAATTCGTAAAATACCAGGAAATAGGTGAACTTGAATAAAATAAATGCAAATTATTATGCTAAATTAAACTTTGCATAATGCATTTCTAAGCATTATTAGTACGTTACTAAAGACAGCCTATAGTAGAATGTCATAAAATTTGATCTCATCTGAAATTGTTGATACATACCCACGTGAGCCCCTAAATGCCCTGGTACGGCCGAAAGCGAGGAGATTCAGCTCCCTCTCTCCAAATGCTCTCACATGGCCACGTGTACATAGCCTCTGCCAGGGAAGTCCTACTCACTACCCTCTAGTGGTACTATTGTTGTTTACCAAATTGAGAGGATGATAAGCGAATGTCCGGTGCTTTAACCGCTTTGGTGGACATGGAAAGTCCACCTAGGGGAGTTAGAAAACCCTGATTCCAAACCAATCGTGCACATGAACTCCAGTATCCTGCGGGAACAAATGGCGTATGAATCAATCGTTGGTCACCGGCAACCGTGGGACTGCATCTCCATACGATGTTCCATTGCCTTGTTGATCAGACCTTCACGTCAAAGGCTCCGGGTGTGGCCCCCTTAGAAAACCACCTGCTTCGGTTTGGGAACTCGGGCAGTATCACAGCCCGCACACATATCAAATAAGATTTGTGTGGCGCATATGTATTTGGTGCCTCCTTGTACCAATATCTATGTGTTAAAATAAATAGATAAATAATTTATGACAAAAGTAAGCTTTGATGTATAATATACGATTATCATAGTGGATTAAACAACTGTACAATTTTAAAAGAATATCAACCATCAGTATAGAGTTTTTTGGTGATTGTAGTAATTTTAATACTTCAATTCATTAGTCAATTTAAGCTATACCACCATTGAAGACGTGGGACCTGAGTATCACGCATCCATGATCCCTCACAGCCTAGATAGACTCGTGAATTCAACCGTTAAAATACTACAATTTCCACGAATCCTCATACTGTTAATAATCATATGCTTATTAGTAACTAGCTTCATGATGGATTTCCTGGAGTTATAGTGAGAAGCCGTGAACAGTAGAGTTCGATTCATGGATGAGTACGCAAGATAATGGATAGATTGAAATTATATATTAACACCGTTGGACGCCTGCTCACTGGTCTAGAGATTAAGCATTCACACGCGAGGCCGAAAGTACTGGGCTCGAATCACGCGAGGCAGGATCGTGGACGAGCACTGTTAAGGAGCCCCCTACTAGGAAGAAACGGCCGTCCATTGCTTCTAGGTTTTCCATGTTGGTCTAGCTTCAATTGATTCGTGGGTTCAATTATGAAGATATGAAAAATATTTTATAACAGAACATATATGGAGTAGCTTAAATAATTTCACAAATCATGAACATAATTTTTACGGGCATTTCTTTAAACATCATTCTGAATAGAGTTCACTTCAGCTAGTCAGTTGTTGATATCCACTAATGAAATTCATTTTATGGATTAAAACAATCAAAAATATCGGAAGTTGATTGGAACGTCCTTTTCAGTTAAATGACTTCCTGGTTGATTTATAGCCCTTCAAAATCTTAAATCATAGAACTACAGTTAAAAGTTAAAAAACGAAGAAAATTAGAGGAAAAAAGTTGTTACTTCCAGTTTTCAATGGTTAAGATCATGATCCAATTGAAACTAGACCACCATGGGAAACCTGGGAGCATTGGATGGCCGTTTCGTCTTATTGTGGGACTTTTCAGAAGTGCGCACTCACGACTCTGCCTTTCGAGATTCGAACCCATCACCTCACGGGCTCGCTTGCGAGGGCTTAACCACTAGACCACTGAGCTGTCCGAAATCCAACAGTGCTAATGTTTAACTTCAACCAATCCACGAAATTACGCCGGCGTACACCATTGTCTTCAGTGAGCTGATATCTCACAACAGACCTGGTTGAACTCCACTGGTAACGGCTTCTCACTAGAACTTTAAGAAGGCAACATTCACCATTCTAATCTGTAACTGAATGGTTTTCTTTAGCAGTTATCTTATCAATAATAATAATGATAGTCAAGAGTTTGATTGAAACTAGGGTTTCCTTGATGAGACTATAATATATGGACGATGCTTGAGCAACGTTAAGACAACTTTGAAAATATCCACCTAGTAACGTGGACTGAATGAGGGTTATTAACCAGTATGAAGAATTAGAATCATGATTTACAGTTGATGATTAGGTTTAGGAACTAGATTTGGGGGTGGGGTCATGACGAACTGACGTGAGCTATAATGCGAAGACTGAATTTATTCAAATGAATGAATGGATTTCGTGCCGAAATCTGAGACCTTTTACCTCAAATCTGATTGGTGCATCCATGAATTATAGACTTGCCATTCTCTTCAATTTATCGTAGATTTATTAATGTAACCATGTGTAATAGGCCTTGATCAGTCAAAAAATGATTACCATTAAATAAGATCACGTTTCGAAATATCATGCCGATGCTTACTAGTTAGTGAAAGGATCTGTTTGAGTGAATGAGTTGTCATAGTGTTAAATTTCTGTAAACAATAATCTGGCTAACGTCATGCTGAAAGATTGGAATTAATATATGAACTGATCACTGAGCTTAAAACTAGAATAAATCGAAATCTATGTAAAATGTAATAAACTATTCACCATTATAGCGTTACAGCGAATAAAATAAATTCACTTGGTATTATTTACTTGAATCTTCTCATTGTTGTTTAGAACTGCAATTGACCAGTCTGTTATTGACATATGTGAATATTGTGTGTGTTGCCTCGATATTGCCTTCATTCACAAGCATTCGAAGTAAAGATGGAAAATGGCTAGCAGTATAATCCAGGACGCGCGTTTCATTCTATGGAAGACCTAAACATTAATGAGAAAATTCAAACAAACAATACCAGGTGAACTTAAAACGTCACTCCATTGCACGCGCATCCTGAATTCCACTGCTAACCACTATCTATGTTTTCTTATAAAGAATAAAATAAATATAATCCGTAGATTATAGTTATTTGTTGTTGTTTCAATGACTTAGGCATTTTTTATCCACCCAGAATTATCCACTATCTGAATATTCAGTCATGTATAATACACAATAATCGATCTAATTCAGCCAGTAATCAAAGTTAGACAATCTGACATTTATTACTAGTCAGTTATTAATTAAAGCAATACATCAATCATAAAAAGGTTAGAGGTATTTAAATGAAAACAACTATTTTTCTTCATCTTCTTCTTCAGTCAATAACATTCTGGTTAGTCATAATTATGTTTAAGTAACCTTTAGCAATTTTCAAAGTATTTTGATGTAATCAATGTAAGCAAAGTTTATAAATAACGAATCACAGAATATCTGGAAGCATTGGACAGCCATTTCATTTTATTATTGGACTCCTCATCAATGCACATCCACCAGGAGTGTGGTTGCACACTGCTGAGGAGTCTCACGATAGGACGTAACGGCCATCCAGTGCTTCCAGGTTTTCGATGATGATCTCACATCAATCGGTTCATGATATCAATCAGAAACTGAATAGCCTCCACAACCTCATACAGATATACAGAATAATTGAATTAATTCTATTATAGAAATCATTCATTAGTTCAGCTAATTCATATCATTTGAAATGTGATACAATTAAGTATTTTTATTTCGTTTCAACAATTTCACTTTCAAAGTCTGTGCTATCATATTTATATGGGATGATGAATGGGATAAACAAGTTTGTTCATCAGTATACTTACTTACGCCTGTTATCCCTTATGAAGAAGTATAGGCTACCCACCAGTATTCTCCATCGAACTCTGTCTGGACAATACTTTCCAGTTGATATTCATTCTTCTCATGTCCGGTTCCAATTCTCGATGTAGTGTATCATTTGGCCTTCCTCTTTTCTGTTTCCCTTCAAAATTCCAAGTTATTACTTGCCTCTTTTCATTAGTATAAGCTGTATG